GCAGTTGGGTTAATGGCTACGTTGCTAGACTCCCATGTAGTCGACCACGGTTCGAGTCCCACACCCGGCAGCTTAAACTCACGCTGGGTGCTTGTGCATGTGTGCCCAAGATCCTGAGAGGAGAATGGAGGAAAAGGGATTGTGGTGTGGCCACCCTCCCTGATGGATGATTTCTCGCTTTTTGTCTCTCCTTCTCTCTCTGTCTTTTTGGCGAGCTCATGCAGCCTATAGCAAAAACCTCTCCAAAAAAAAGACTTGCCTGCCTCTTATCAAGTGTTGCAAACACTGCCCTGCTTTTTTCTCTTCCAGGACATTTATCTAACATCACCTAGTTTGCACGTTTATCTTTCCCAAGGAGACAGGACGTTGGCCTGTCTGGTTTTCTGCTGTATCCCTAGGACCTGGAAGCATGTCTGGCACATAGTAGATGCACAAAGTAGAGATTATTTGTGGACTGAAAGCACCCGTTCATTTCATTGTTTGTTTTGCTGTAGGGCATGTGCACTCACTCGAGAGAGAGAGAGAGAGAGAGAGAGAGAGCGCACCGTGCAGGATGAATGGCCTTCATCCTCCTCTTGGGATTTTGATCATGCACGCCTAGAGTGTTTTTCAAGCAACTGGATCCAGGACTCGAACCATGCTGTTAGCCATGTGGCATCTGGCCACTTTAACCAGCAGGCATGACTGGCCCCTGTCCTGACCCGGGGGACAGTCGAACAGGTTTCCTGAGGGAAGGAGTGAGAGACTGAACGAATGGCGCAGTGTTACAACTCTTCAGGGTTGTCCGTTTATTGTGGGCAGCACGGAGACGACACAGTGTCACAGCTCTTCAGGGTCGTCTGGAGACGACGCAGTGTCACAACTCTTCAGGGTTGTCCAGAGACAACGTGGTGTTACAATTCTTCAGGGTCGTCTGGAGACCATGCAGTGTCACAGGTCTTCAGGGTCTTCAGGGTCGTCTGGAGATTGTGGGCCAGGGATCGTGGTTATATACATGTTGGTGGGCAGTGATTGGTTGTTAAAAGGTGGGTTATGATTGGTTGCTTTTGTGGACCAATCATGAGATACCGGATGTGCAAATCTGAGGGATTCTAAGCTCACCGATTTGCTGTGGGAAGTAGCCAATCAGAGTATGGCTTTGAAGGTGAAGTTTTGAAGGGGAGCCAATTGTGGCCTTTGGCGTTGTGTAATTGTTTGCTTTCTGAGAAACCAAAACCTAATGACCTTGCAGACTCGCTGGTACACAGCCTCCCACAGGCCTCCATTCATTTCTTTCAGGTAAGATTATATCTTGAGGGGCCAGCAGGTGGCGTGGTGGGTAAGTGCGCTGGACTCCCACATGGCTGACCACAGTTCGAGTCCTAGGCCTGGTGTCTTGCTTTCTCACTTTCTACTTCTCTGGCTCTCTCTTGTTCTGTACCTCCCTGGTCAAATTAAAATAAGTAAGTGAAATTAAATAAAATAATTCTTTTAAAGAAAAGATTATATCTTAAAAGTGACTTGAAACTGGGGCCAGGAGGTGGCGTGGTGGTTAAGGTACTGGACACTCCCACATGACTGACCATGGTTCGAGTCTTGGACCTGGTAGCTTGCTTTCTCACTTTTCCTCTCTGTGTGTCTCTCTCTGGTCAAATTAAAATAAATTAATGAATAAGTAAAATTAAATAATAATTTAAAAAGAAAGAAAGAAAGAGACTTGAAACTAACAGTAGTTTCACACCTCAGGTGGCTCCCAATGCCTTGCTGGGTTTCCCAGAGGGGAGGGGGACACGGTCTGGAGCTGCTCTTTGTTTTCACCTTGACTTGGTTTTCTTGGGGAGAATTGAGAAGAGGGATACTATCCTAATCCCAATTACCTTGTTTTCCAGGATAATTGGAATCCATTCTCTGAAGGTGGTGACATCCTTTGGGGACTAAACTGCTGTCATGGTAGTTAAAAGACAAAGCAAAGAGAATTCCCTGGTGACATGTCACCTGGCAGGGTTGGTACCCACCCCTAGAGGAGGGCTGGCTTCCTGACCTTTGCCTCAGAAACTCCGCTCCCTGAGGTCCTCACCCCTCAAGCTGTGTGACTCCCCTGATCAAACCCCCAGGGACTTCTGTCACTAAGATGAAAATCAAAAGGCCAAAAGGCTGGCAGATCTGACCCAGGACTCCTGTCCCCTCCCTTGCCAAACCTGCTCTGTCTGCACTAGCCCTGCCAGCCCCCTCCCACCTGGACCTTGGTACTTGCCATTCCCACCATCTGCACCTGCCCCTCCCTGGCCGCATCCAGGTGGCATGTCCCCGATAGTGCCTTCCCTGTCCTGGTGACTGAAGCCCTCCCCGACCACCCAGCACTCAGCTCCTCTCCCTCCTGCTGTTCCCACAGTCGTGTTTGTCTTACCGTGAAGTCATTTACTGTGGACGTCTTCTGGGAGAACAGAGACTCGGCAGGACAGGGGCGGCTGACTTTCCTCACCACCCTGTCCTCAGCCACCTCGAAAAGTGCCTCGAACACAGAGTGGGCTGTCAGTATCCTCGGCCACATAAACACCTGCACCAAGTTGGGTTTATATTGCGTTCAGGTCTTCTATACCTTTACCATTTTTTTGTCTGCTTACAAAAGATGTGGAAATCTTCCACTATAAGAGTAATTTTGCTCATTTTTCCCTGTAGGTTTTTTTTTTTCTTTTTAATTTTTGTACTTGGAGGTTCTTTACGGGACACACAGAAGTTTAGAACCGTTACGGTTTCCTATAACAATGGAGAGGTTTTTCAGAGTAATACGGGAGGTGAGCTGCACAGACCCACCTGCCTGCCCCACCCTCCCTGTGTCTGCACCTTGTGTGGTGTGACCAGCATCTCCGCCAAAGCCTCGGCTGGCCTGGGGACCCACCTTGGCCAGGAGAATGTGGCAGAGCGATGTGGTTCTCAGCCTGAGCCTTGGGAAACCTCAAGCCCTTTCATGTCCCCTTTTGGACTCCTGCCTCCGCAGAAGACAGGCTCAGGCTAGCCTGCTGGAGGGTGAGAAGACACATGGAATGGAGCCCAGGTCATCCCACTCGTTGGCAGCCTGACCTGCTGCCGCCCAGAGATGCACACAGGAGCCCACCTGGGGCCAGAGGACTGTCCCCTGCCCGTGGGCTCACGAGCGGAGTCACTAGCTGTGCGATGCCTCGGAATTTGGGAGTGGTTCGTTTAACAGCATTATTTGGCGGCAAGTATGGACACAGGTAGTGACGCCCCATGGTCAGCGTCCCCTCCTTCGGGTCCGAGCCCCAGAGGGCTTTACTGACGACCTGGGCATTCTCAAGCCGCTTCCTCTCCAAAACCACTTGCTTCCTTATTATCTGTCTCCCACACTAGGCTGTCAGCCGCGTGGGGGCGGAGAGCGCGTCCGTTCTGGTCCCTGCTGCGTCCTGGTGTCGGGCAGGGTACTGTGCAGTGCGGCGTGCGAGCCATGAGCAGCGAAGCGTGGCTCGCCCATGTTGACATGTGCTGGCGATGTAAACCGCATGCTGGGGTTTGGAGGTGCACTACACACAGGAAAATAACGTACCTAGGCTTGCCCCCGATGGAATGTTGGAACGAATGCCCCCAACGCGAGGTGATGGCAAGTGGCTCAGAGCGAGAACAGGGGGTGCTGATGGCCTGAGAACTGTCATGCTGAAGTCACGCCGTACCCCTGCAGGTACATCCAGGAACACGTAATTAAAAACTTTTAGATTGTAAACCCCCAAAAGATGCTGACAGGTAATATTTTGATGTACTGGATTAAATAGAATGTTCAGCACGATTTCAGGGCCAGAGGGCGATGCTGTGGTCAGGAGGGCACTGCAAGGCAGTCTTGCACGGGATGCGAGGTGATGGCAAGTGGCTCAGAGCGAGAACAGGGGGTGCTGATGGCCTGAGAACTGTGTCATGCTGAAGTCACGCCGTACCCCTGCAGGTACATCCAGGAACACGTAATTAAAAACTTTTAGATTGTAAACCCCCAAAAGATGCTGACAGGTAATATTTTGATGTACTGGATTAAATAGAATGTTCAGCACGATTTCAGGGCCAGAGGGCGATGCTGTGGTCAGGAGGGCACTGCAAGGCAGTCTTGCACGGGAAGGCTCCCGGCATGTGTGAGAGCGAGCGTGGACACCCTCCACAGAGGTGCCTGGTCAGGCCAAGTCCTTTCCCCTCTGATCCGCCCCATGAGGATCCCAGGCATACACACATGCTCCCAGTGTGGTTTTCAAGCCCCGGGGCCAGGCTCAAACCCTGGTTGGCCGCATAGGATTCAGCTTCCTCTGTGCAGCCCCTGACCCCTGTGCTGTGGGGCCAGCTCCATGGGTTGTTTTAAAAAGAGATGCCAGGGACCAGGCAGTGGCCTGTGATAAAAACGTAAGGCTCTGCAAGGCTGACCCACGTGGGAAGGTTCGGGGTTGCATCCCGAGACCTCCCCACAAATGCGAGGCACACATGGCTGGGCCCCAGGACTGGCTAAGCCTCAGAGCGGATCACGGTGTATAGGCCTTGTTGGGGGTGCTCGCTCTCTCGCTCTCTCAGAAGAAACAGATAAACTTTAAAAAGAGAGATACAGGGGCCAGCAGGTAGCACGGTGGTTAAGGCACTGAACTCCCACATGGTCAACCATGGTTCGAGTCTCAGACCCAGCTGCTTGAAACTCACGTTGGGCCATCACGTGCGTGCCTGAAATCCTGAGGAGAATGAAGGAGAAGGGATTGCGGTGTGGCCATCCCCCCGAGGGGACAATGTCTCAGTGTCTCTCTCTCCATTTCTTCAGCAAGCACATGCACCCTATAGCAAAAATCTCTCCCCCAAAAAAGAAAAATTAAAATGGGGGATACAAAAAACCAGGCATGTGGCATTTTGGTTATTTTCGTGCCTCTTTCTCCTAAATTTGAAAAGGATGGCTTTAGTCTCAGAAATGCTGAATGAGTTGGAAAGCCGCTGGTGGGCTTGGGATTAGTGACCAGAGGCAGAAACAAGGGCAGCCTGTTGAATGTCAGTGCAGGTGGCCGGGGCTCACAGCCAGGGAGAGGCAGCAACACACCCCGCCAGGAGCTCCCAGAGCAAGATGGTGTCCGACTGCCCTCCCACCACTACGACATCCTGGCATTGCCACCTCTACCACAACACAGTGGAGCCTCAGGAGAGCAGGGGTGGTCTGACAGCTGCAGGCTTTCATCTCCCACCAGGGGAGAAGGCAGTGAAAACATCCCTCCATCGGCAGGCACTGCCGTCTTCAGGAATATATTGACATTACCCCACCACCTGTTGGTGGGAAGCCTAAGGAGCACTGTACTCCTTAAGATGAAAACTTCCCCAAGGTCACCCAGCTGGCCAGGTTGGTACCAGGTCTGCCTGCAAAGGTCACAGCCATGAAGCATGTGCTATCCTGGGCCCTGGGGATTCCCCAGCCCAGGCCTGCCTGGCAGAGTGAGGTTCAAGTTTGAGGCCTCAGTAGTGTAGGGGGAGAAGCCCAGGTGAGGAAGAGTTAGGAAAGGCAGGAGTCCCTAGCCTGGGGGAGAAGGTGGTCCTGTATCCATGAGCAGTGAGGACAGAGGCCCACAGGCCAGGACTGACCGGAGCCCACAGTGCCGTGTGTTAACCGGAAGGTGTAGTTTCCCACTGCCCGTTGGTGGTCACACCCAGGTGAATATATCTGGGACCCAGAGATAGTCCCTCCCTTCTTCCTCCCTTCCCAGGGCCCTCTGCTGAGCCAGGAATCTGTGACTAGGGGCAGAAAAAAGGGAAGGACCAGGCTTTTTGTGTGCTAGCTTTTCCATAGGGTGCCTGAGCTGGGGGGGGAGGGAGAGAAATCATCCCCAGGGGCATGGCCACAGTGCAGACCCTTTTCCTCCATTCTCTTGGTTTTGGGCACATATGCACATGCGCCCCGAGTGTGTAGGACTCCCCACCCTCTGGCTGGCCTCAGGAGGGACTAGAATTTCTAAGAAATGCTCGCCAGCAACCTGAGCTGGGATCTCTTCCAGTGATGACCCCAGCATCCGGATGGGTGGAAGGGTTCCTGGACCCCCAGACCCGGGATCCTCCACCAGGCTGGTGTGCAGTTTGGGCAGCCCTGCCGGGGGCCTCTCCCAGGAGAGCAGGAAAGAATTCTGCCCTTTGTGCGCCTTACTTCATTATGCATGAGCGCGGCACCCCTGGCTGAAAAGTGATCATTCCACTATTGGGTTTTCCCAGCTTGAGGCGACAGCTTTTGGAAGTCGAGGCGGGTTTAGTGGAGTCCAGAATGTTGAAGTGGGAGAACCTGAGGCAGCCGGGAAACGTCAGATTCAAAACGGGGCCCGGTGACCTACACAGTCTCCGACACACTGAGCCTCGGAGGTTGGCAGCCACACCTGCGCAGTCGGGACAGTATCCAGCGCGGGAGCGTGCCCCAGTGTACGCTCGCTCCACGAGGCGCGTGCAGAGCAACTGGCGAACCGTGCTGGGGGAGCGAAATAGCGACTTTCGTCGCCCCATCCAGGTAAACGATCCGTGTGAAGCGCTTCGAACAGCGCGGGTAGTGTCAGTGCTCCTCAAGTGTTCGCGGTCCTATTATATCACCACCCTAGCGCTGAGCCCGGCAAGAAACCCGACCGGATCATTTCGACAGTAGCTCCACAACGATCGAATATGGACAGGGAAAATCATGCCAAGGCTTTAGCAAGCTCTTGTGATACTTCTGGGTGTCCGCTCCGGGCGCGGTGTCCTGGCCAGCGAAGCCCAGTCCCGCGCGCTTAGCCCCTGGGCCACTGTGCAGGGCCGCTGTGCAGGCTGAGCTCCGCCCCGCGGGGCCGGCGCGGTCCAGTTTGCCGGAGCGCGGCCCCACCCTCCACCTGTGCCCGGGATTCCAGGGCCTGCGGGGAGGGAGTGGGTGCCGCCGAGTGCTCAGCCCCAGG